GCATTTTCCACTATGCTCTTAAATAACATTATCATATTGAAGAAAAAAGAAAAAAAAAAAAAAGAAAAAACAGGGAAGAAAAGTACCCTCTAAAGTCTATCTTACACAAAAGGTGTTTTCAACAAAGCTGATTTTTTTTTCTGCGGGAAACCTCCAGCCATCAAGGTATTTCTGTTAATATTAGGAAAAACAGGATGAGACTGAGACACTATCCAGAGAAGTCAGGAAGAATGACAGCAATATAGGGACAGAGGAAGCAGGCAATCAACCATATCTGCTCTTTCAGTTTGGCAACTTCCTGGCTTTTTATGACTTAAGTTGAAACACTGACAGTTTTGCTGCTTCTCTATTTTATTCTAGATATTCCAGTAAAAGGAGCCAACCACTGATCCTCGGCATCCCATCACAATGATGCCCAATTAGGAGTTTACAGCCTTTCTTCACTGAGACACCTCCAAAAAAGAGTAATGCAGGATACTACACACATATCCTGAAAGCAAGCCAACGGATTCAGAAGAGCAAAAGTAATTTCAGCTCTGGCCAATGTGACCACAGCTTCTTCAGGCCTGCGCCCCTTCCTAGCAGGATTTCTCTAATGCAGCAACTCTGCTCCACTCGGTGGTGGCTTCATTCTGGACTGAATTGCCACGTAATGAAGTCCTCAAGAATTTGAGGCTGACATGGTACATGTGTGAATCTCCTTTACACCTTTCCACAAGCTCCAACTAAGTCGCAGAGCTTGGTTTTCCAGGTGCACTTGCCCATGCTGCACAGAGGTATTGGACCAGTCCAGAAGACAAGCAGCTCAGTGGCAGCTGCTTTTGGAAGAGTAAGAAAGGCCCTCAAAAGTGGAAACACTCCAAATTTCTAAAACATACAGATCTGGAGATCTGGTCCAACTGCCAACATATACCACATATCACGGCAAACATCTCGTGAGTCCTACCTTTGAGTACTTCTGGAGCTGGGAATCATCTGTAATAGGCATATCCACGTTCACAACCTAAAAAATACACAGCATAACATTTTTATATAGTAGCACAATAAAAACTTCACCAGAATGATGAATCCTGGCAAAAGAAATGAACAAACAAAAAATTAATCTGATTACGAGTAAAATAAAATGCATTTAAACAGTTATATTGATGCAAAATAATTTTAAACAAATGTTAGAAAAATCTGACACTTGCATTTAGGAACGTTCCAATTATGCACAACTAGCACACTGCAAAGTTATTCTTGCTGAAGCCCAAGTGTCAATTTTAACATGAAGTTCAACAGTCTTGTATAAACACAAAATGCAATTATGTTTGACACAACTACCCAAACTAGCCTGCCTGTAAGTACTACAGTTTGAATTATTACTTCAGGTACCATAGTCATCTGATACCTAGACTAACCATTATCTTCTGCAGCTTGTTTCCAACATGGCTTGAAATGCATGAGTTTAAGGGGTTTAAATTTGAATGCACAGTAATATATATGTAGGTTCTTTCTTTTCAAGATGTGCTGAAGGGATTTATGGTCCTTTTTTTTTTTTTTTTTTGCAATATAATGACTATAACCTTTATCACCAATTTTCTTGCACTGTCCTTTAACAGGGTTTATCTATCTGTAACCTTAGAAAGGTTATTTACTCAAATTTTAAATGTAGCAAGATTAGATCTATGGTAATCTGGGGCCTAGGGTAGGAGCCTGGGATACTGAAATTGAGTATGTTTGGAATGACTGCTGGACCTGCTAGATGCAGAAAGATACAGCCTTGTAAAATTAGGCAACTCTTTCCTTCAGGCTCCTTTGGACATTTCCAGCTTAAAGTATCTACAAAACAACACAAAATCTCAGCTTCTTCTTCCAGCTGAACTTTTATTATGGTATCCAGAGTCTTATTTCCTAGTACTTAAGGTACTTTTCCCAACAGATAGAATGTATTTCATATGCACTCAGTTGTAACTAAATGAATCGCTGACTCCTCAGATGTCTGTTCATGGTTAGGTACCTTGCAGCGAATCCCACGCAGCCATAAATCCTACCCAGGCACTGTACTAGGGTCTCTTCTCTTACAGCAAGATCTTAGTTACGTTCTTTAAAGCTGCTACCACACAGAACCAGAAAACACAGGAGCCATGGGTGATCCTAAATCCCTTTTTCAATAGTAGTTTCCTTTAAGAGAAGTACTCACAGAAAATACTCAAATTTGTCCCCTCGGGGTGCTCTGCCAGTTTCAGTGGAGCCAAACACAGGAATGAAGATAGTGTCAGACTGAGCTACTAGGCTGAAATCAAACTAAATGTTGTCACTGACCACGGCCAAGCAAGACTACAGGTACAAACAGAAGAGAGAAACTGGGAGAACTGAAAGCAGCTCTCAAAGTGGGCTGCAATAGCAGTTTCTTTCTATTATTTAAAAGGACTAATTATTAATATTTTCACTTGTGCCATTTTATTGGCAGCAGTTAAAGAAGAATTAAAAATGCGCAGTTCCACAAACTAAGCAGGTTTTCATCCTCTCTGGGAAGTGTGATAATGCTAAGGGAAGTAATATCAGACTCTGGAAATGTAAGAATGGGAATACCAGGCAACTAAAGTGGGTAGCGAAGCAGATTTATTGAATCATGTACATAATCTTATATGAACTTCAGATCTTAAAAGAGTGCTAATGGAAAGAAGAGGAGCCGGTTTCTCAAGACAGTTCTTAAAGCCACTTTAAATCTTCCAGCAAGAGAATGGAATGATAGCTACTCTAAGTAGTAAAAATAAGTGTCTCTAAATCAAGTGGACAAGCATTGCAAAAGACAAACAAGATATTTTCTTGGTGGCAGTAAGATTTTGTTAAGACTTTGGAAAGAATGTTGGCTGGAGTCTTTTATCTGTGTTCAGTAGCTAACATAGCATTGCAAAGCAGTGCTGAATTAAAATTTCAGTCAACTCCTTATGATGATTCATATCTGCAAAAGGTAAATAATCTTTTGCCAGGTAATCATTCAGTAAGAGATGAACAAGCAGCTTATAGGCACCAGCACCACAAAGTTACACTACCTTGAATTACTTCATTTTCTTCCAATACATTTGAAAATCATCCTTTGAATAAAACTGTAAAATTCTTTGTGAACATGGGAGTAATACCCTGAGCCTTTTTTCCACCAGTGCCCAATAAAAAAAATTATAAACAAAATCATAAAAATGCCAAATATTTTAAGTGGACGCTATGATAAATACAGGCAAAGTTGAATTTCCTAAATCACTGGTCCTGTCTAAACAATAACTTCTATATAAACAGAATAATATTTGTAAAAAAATCCTGTATTTCAGCCTTGAAGTTAAGGGAAACAAAATGTGGCGTTATCGATCTGTTCCAAATACTAAACAGCTTGTAACGCTAAGCTCACGAATCTGTAATTTAAAGAAATAACACATAACAGTGTGCTTTATTGAAGAACAACATACCATAACTTCATAATCAGGTCCCAGCAGGCTTTGCCACTTGGATTTCTGCTCACATGCTGGAGAGAATGGGACTCCTCCTAAGTATGAAAGCAAAAAGCATATTGTACATTCAGAAATACATTTACTTCTAAATAGTTCAATAAGAATCCAGTGTAAATAAAAGACTACAACGGTTACAAAAAGGAAATTGCATTAAGTTGAGTCCATCAAATGCTGCAAATCACAAAATGACCTTCAGGAAAACAATGTCCCACGTTAGCTACTGCTATAGTGCAATTTATTTGACTAAGGAGCAGAAGAGGTGCTGCTTGCATTGACAAGATGTGAATTTGGTACAGCATCGTTCCGTAAATAAGTCAGTCTTCCAGGCTGCAAAACAAGTTTCGTGCAGCTTCATAATCTGTTGCTATATAAATGCCTGCCCCTCCAGGGAAGCATCTTCTCCCACCAAAACAGGCCCCTTAGGAGCAAACACCTGACAAGATACCACTGTTATCAGGAGGCTGCATCAGCACAGATGCAGCCGTAGACTTTAGTTAGACATTTGGCAGGTACAAAGGCTTGTCTAGTTTAATTAGGCCAGCAAGTAACATGAGCTTTAATATAAGTCCCAGTTCTAAACCAGTCTTCCGTGGGAACTTGGCTATCTTGACATTTATATCTTTGCAGCTTTCTTACTTATGCAACCAAGGCAGTATTACACTCATGTAAGACAATTTGACAGAGCTAGACAGCATAAAATGACTGGCTGCCCTGCGTTTGACCTCATCCAGAAGCTCAGCACACATATAAAGTTCCATGCTGAAGAAATGTTTAACTGGTAAGAATCAAACTCCAAAGCAAATTCCATCGAGCAGCTACAGCAGCAGCAACTGGAGACGGAATTACTGAAAACTGCTTTTCCCCTGAATGACTGTAATAGTTTGTCAGATGTCTAGACAAGGCACAGACCACTTAGTATTGCTGATGCGTCACACTAAAATTCTGAATAAATCACAATCTCCCAAGCTGCACACAGACTAGCAAGCAAAATACCTCCGGGGAGGATTTTAGGGCAACAAGAGAAGCTCCGACCTTCCTGCTAGCCAAAGGTAATGCAAGCGGGATGCCCAACTTCCCTGGCTCCCAGCACCTCTGTAGGCTGCAAGATAAAACTCACAAGCTTTGCAAAAGATTCTTCCTTACACCATTTGGTAACGTTGAAGTTTTCAGCTCCTTAAAAATAAAGGCTTACATAATCTTATACAACAGCATAACTGACCACGGCACCTCTTCCAAACATCATCATGCCGAGTAGCCAAATGCTATTGAACTGCACTGAGGAATCACAGTCCTCAGAACCCAATGCCTGAGACCTCAGCTGGAGCTACCCGGGGTTTCTGTTTATCTATAAGCTCAAAGAGTTATAAATATTGAAGGCGTCCAGCAATACAGACATTTTTTTGATACCAAAAAACCTTCTCCCCGAATCATCCTAAAATTTCTGAGCTCCATCTTAAGATTTACTTTTTCCCTCCATTTAATTCACATTTCTAAGAAATGTTCCTCATGAACCTTGTTATCAAGCACGGGCTGATCACTATATTTATTTCTCAACTGTGGCAAAAACAAAACATGAGGGCATCTCTCTGCTCTTCCCATTTGCAGAAACACGCAGGGACACAAAGACTTTACAGTTTCTTATTCTGCTATTACAAAGTCATAGCCTGAACACACAGGACTTAAGCACCTGCAGTCCCCTGTGCAGTCAGATACAGATGTTAAGGCTCATCGAGAGTAACAAACGTTAGGATCAAGCTCAAAGTTCAGCTCAGGAACTCTAAGTTGTTTCCAATTGCCTGAATATAGTTTTCTTTGCTGCTTCCAAAAAGCACTACCAAAAATCTATGGTTGTCCAGACCAGGTGCTGATGCACATCTCCACTCAAAGGTTCTCTCTTTCTTTCTTTCAGACAGACCTCAAGGTCCCTGCTTGCAACTTCCTCAAAACTGTGAAAATATTGCAGAAAGGGATTTGAATCAGATATACTTAATTCCAATAGTATCATCCAATTCACTTCAATGCACCTTTCTCACAGACAGCTTTTTCTACATGGCAAATAGGAATTTACTTCTTTCTAGTGTTTCATCTGGATTGATTTCTCATGGCCTAAAATACATACTACATCTTCTGCAACGCGTGAGGCCTCGGAGAGGGAAATGTCCCCGGATCAGCTTTCACTGGCAACGATCTGCAGTACATTTAGAGTTCTGCCTCTCTGCCTGCACTTCTATGCAGCTTTCTTAGCAGCTATCAAGAATAAATGTATTGTATTTGATTGTAAATATAATCTTTCCTGGTCAAAATTGCTGGCATCTTCAAAATGGGAACCTTTTTTTTTCCCTTGCAATCCCCTCCCAATTTCACACATCTTCAAAATGGGAACCTTTTTTTTTTTTTCCTTGCAATCCCCTTCCGATTTCATGAACTCTCTGTATTAGGATGTGCTGTGCTCTGCTGCACTTCATTAATACACTCCCTTTATCATCTCTAGATGTTATTCTCCAACGTTCTTTAAGTTCCTGGCTAGCATCATCGTCTCTTTGGGTTTTGCATACTGCCATAGGGTGAAAACAAGCAGTTCTGCCCACTCCGCAGTCTTGCAGATGCAGCTGTTAACTTAATTGCCTCGAGCCTGCTAGCAGAAAGTTTAAGGCCTCATATACATTGAATCCTGATCCATGTTGCCTTTGTAACAGAACTGTTTAAGCACGGTTTTGCCTGGGCAGAATTACATTTAATACCTATCAGGGAAACACAATTTGAATAAGTATTTCACACAACCAGGCCTAAAGGGAAGCAATACATATTTTATGAAACATATATTTTACATTAAACTTTCAAAAGCGTTTCCAGAGTTTAGTCAGAACCTGAAATTTTCACCTTGGAGTAGAATTTAATGGCCAACTTTAAATTCCAAAGATAGGTGCTTATTTTGGACATGGTGATAGACACTTAACTATGACAGTGTTAAATCATATGTATCATATTTCAATATTAACAAAGTTTGCAAACACATACTTCCTCTTTTTAAGCAGAGATGCACACACACATTTTACAATAGCAAAAGCCTTTTGCAGAACCTTGTAACTTTAAGCATTTGTTTCACTACTAGCTCAATCGAGCAGTGGGATCTGTTTACCAGTGCTTTTAGTGCACTAAATGCCACTGTTTCTTTACTCACTTTCAAAATCATGCACATTTCATGATTCTGTAAAGGTCCCATGAGAACCAGCAATACTAAATATTATCAAGGACATGACTCGAATGTAAACCAAGAGTATCTGCAGTGTTTAAATTTGGGTATTCCAAGATACACTGTCCACACAAAACTTATCATATTGCATCAGCGGAGGGGAAGCTTGGAATAATATAATACACTTGCTGCAGGATGCGCTGGGAAATGCAGCGTGTGCATTTCCACACAGCTCTGCAAGAAAGCAGGATGGGTCCGACTGGGAGCTGGTAATTGCAGGCAATAAAACCTGTGCCAAAGCTCCAAGGAACGGGATGAGAGTGGCACAACACTGGAATTAAGGGGGAGTCACTCATACTCGTGACCCGGCCATGACTTAACAGCTCCTCTTGAGACCAGGGTTTTGGAGGGTAGATGGAGAGGCAGTGGATCAATACCAAAGCAGGTTGGACCTGCTGTGGAAAGGGCTCAAATACAGTTAGGTCCAAGCTGACTCTTTGCAAAAGAGAGATCACCAAGGCACACCTGGAAACCAGCAGAGATTGTTAGCTTCAAGCCAGGTAAAAGCAACTTTATTCCCCAGATTAAGCTGATCCTGGCATTGATGACTTATTTGCACAGGTAGCAACTTCCTGAGAAAGTTCTCCTTGCATCATGGCAAACACTTGCAGTCTGTGACACAAGATAACCCAATCAAGAGTAATCAAGAATTGACCACAGATAGATCATTCACTTCAGCAAGAAGAAAAAATACTTAAAACCACTGTTATTGAGTCTAGAAGAGAGCACTTAGTATGCAGGTCCAGTGGCATTTAGCCAGCACATCCCTCCTCTTTTTTTTTTTCCCCCCCCTCTGAATACTGTGGAACTTTTTGTGTATTAAGTATTTTCTTACCTAAGTAGTCCTACCAGCTACCCACACTGCTGCTAGGCCTTTAAATTCTTCCTCCAGTGAAAATGATAATTCATATATGCCTTTGCACTCATGCAGCTGAAACAATGCTTTGATAACCTTCCATCTTAGCTACTCAGCATCTCCATATTGGCTTCCCATTTCTGGGAATAGGCAGAAGTCACAACACAGGATGTCTGGTTATAACTCTTGGACAGAAAAGTAAAACATAATGAAATATAGAAACTGCTATATTTCTCTCATTTCCAGGTTGTCTTTAATACTGACAGATCTTCCACAATCATAGCAAAATTGTTATTCATTGACAGCCATAATTTAGAATCCCCTATTACATGTACAGAACTTTGAAATTACAAAGCATAAGGATAATTTATGCGGACTTTAACACAAGCTGTAGAATTTCACCCAGAAGTTCCTGTAGATGAGCCCAGAAATCTGTAGGGGAATTGAAGCCTTCTGGAAAGGCCTCCAACCTCAATTTGGATGTCAGCTAAAAACCAAACCAATCCTTTCTCCTGCGATTTGTCCCTGTGTCCAACTGCCCTAAAAAGCTGCATGACTATTTGAACTCCTCTCTTTGTGGCTACTGTTTCCAGGCTCAGGTCTTCTCCCTTTTCCAGGCAAGAGATTCTCATTTATCTCTATAAGGATGGAGTCAGTAACTTTCTGGTTTGGCTAGCAAGCTTAGGACAAGCAAGCCGAAAATTGTGTCCCCCCGAGATTTAACCTTAGTTTCTAATAGCAGCATGGAAGGGAGCAAGCAGTACACAAAGCACTGGGACCACAGGATACAGGAGCTGGCTCTGGGAACAGGAGACACCGCGAGACATTCCCTCCAAGTGGGGAAACTCACGGGGAGGTTGATGCAACTTGGCTGGGCTTATCTGGCACCCTGGGAAATACCAGTGACCCAGAGCACTGTAAATGGGAAAAGCAAACTGGAGCAAGGCAGATGAGGCAGGGCTTGTGTGTGGGAAACAACCTGCAAATGGAGACAAGGTGTAGTAAGATGTGATCCCCTGTGCCTGCTGCTGCAGCCATCTCCAGCACTTCAGCAGCCCCTAACTCAGGCAGAGCTCCTGAGGGGGGACATTGCAGCCCAGGGCCCAGGCTGAAGGACCTGGAGGTGGGTTCTGACCAAGCTACCAGATGAGGGCAGCTCTAACAGACAAAACTTCACTTCACAGGAACCTAAATAACGGGTGCTACAGATCTAAACCTAAAGCCAAAGCAAGCCATGACAGACCATCAGAATAGACACTAATTGAAGAAAAAAACTTAAGACATGGAAGAGATGCTGCAAAATATTCTATCCAGCTGTTTTATGTGGACTTAGTTTCTTTTCATTTTGAAGATTATCCCTCTGTTCTTGGTTTTCCTCACTCTTACACTAGTTCACGCTAGTTTCAATCCCTATAGCTCCAAGGGACAGTTGGCTGGAATAGTTGGCTGCACTGTGAAAGCAAGAGGAAGGGGAGGACATAGGGAAAGTAAATTCAAGACAGATGGTGCAAAAGATACGAAGTAGCAACTACTCCTCATCGATACCTTTTTTGTTTGCTGCACAAGAGGTTTGTACTCAGTTTTTTTGAGCTCTTTTCTCTTTCCTTCCATTCCTTCTTAAGTATCTCATCTTCCACAGTGTAGACATAAGATGACATGGAATCTAGTTCTAATTAAATAATTGGGTCACTGCAAATTGAGTGCAGCACTGAAAAGGTAAAAAGGATTACCTCTGTCTAATGGTCTTTCTGATGAAAGAGCAGAAGAGAGTTTCCTCCTAAGCAAGGTAAGGCGCACGGCCTGTCCTGTGTTACGCAAGGCCTCCACCACTTCTTGGTTGGTATAATCCTGAATATTAACTCCATCAACCTAGGACAAGAAATCGTCACATTAGAGCAATTACAGTACACTCTTATACTGCACCTTCCCCATAAGTAATATTCCTTCCAGAAATTATTCACCTAAAGATGGTATTATTTAAAAAAAAAAATCATTATATTTTGTGAATTGTTCCATGTTCTAAAAACGCCTTTTAAGAAGAAAGTACTCTAGTAATTTATTTTGCGCTCATGAGGAAACCGCAACACAGGAATTCACTAAACCAACTATCCCTCCCCTGCCAAATTTTTATTCTATTTTATTTTTATTTATCTTTTAAAGAGGAGCAGTTTGAAGAGCATTGCACATGACTCCCAGGAAAAGTAGTCAAAATGGAAATCTGTTAGTTCATAATCATTGTACATTTTTCCTATATTCATAACATGTCCACACATAAAACCTACGAAAATAACTGCATATAATCCACTCTAGACAGCCTAATTCTTGGCGGGATTCAGATGCTTCAGTTTACACCAGAAATATGCCATTCATCTCACTGTTGGATCAGCCACTGTAGGGCCTTCTCCTGCAAAACCACAGATAAAAGCACAAGGCTGCATCAGATTTTGCTCTTGTAAAAGAGATGCTGACTTTGGGAGATCTGGCACAGCTCACATCTTCCAAGTAATTTAAAATCAGATTTCTATGCAGATGATTTTGTAAAATGAAAAGAGCATTCAATTCATCACTGTTTGTACTGTGAATGCAAAATTGGCCATTACTCAGTTTTTAATTTTTATACATTTAAAGCTTGGGTTTTAAACATAAATTGCAACTATTAATATTTTGATGGTATCCACACGATGCTATACACTCATGAGGAACCATAAGCAACATGGCACTTCCTGCAAAATCTTATCCATCCTCAGATCCTATTGACTTCAACAGGACCCGATATTGCTCCTTTTTAATTTAGGCCAAAAGCCAAGACTCTCCGCTCCCAAATGCGTGTCTATTTTAGAGCTAACTACTGTTTACTACTTCTTTGAATATAAAGTAATATTTTAACTAGAGCAAATCAAAGCTCATTTCTGTTACGGTATCTATCTAAACAAACAGGCTGCAAAGAAGGCAAGGTTTGGTTAATTTTAAAAAGGTTTTACCACTACACTTTTTTCTTTTTAATTCTGATATATGCAATGAAGCATTAGTTTTAAAGCAATGTAGGAGCAGAATATTTTACTTACAGCAACAATTTTGTCATTAACTTGAATTTGGCCATTATGGTCAGCAGCACTACCAGGTATTATGTTTTTCACAAAAATCCCTGAAGGTTCTGTTGAGGGAAGAGAGGAAGGAAAAAAAAAAAAAAAAAGTACATTATCCTAACTTAAAAAAAAAAGAAGTTTTTATTTACAGTTTTTTTCCACAGACTTTAATGCACAGAGCCATGATTCTGCAAAATCGCTGACATTCAGCACGTACCTCTTATGTAGCTTGACTGTTAAGAACAACCAAAAAGCTCTGATAGAGAGAACACCATTGACACCAGCACCCGGGCACTGACCTCTATAATTTTTCCTTAATGTGGCTCACAGAAGGCCACCTCCCTCCATGGATTCGTCCTTGGGCTTACACAGGCTTTAAGCCACAATCACTCAAATCCATGCTGCATTTGATTTCAATAGGACTACCTAAGCTAAAAGTAAAGCATGTGCTTAAGTACTTTGATCAAGGCTTCAATCTATCCTCTTACAGCTTTAGTACTTTAAAACTTAATGAAAAAGAAGAAACATGGAAATCAGAGAAGCTGTCCTTCGCCAAATTTGGTTATTAATTCTAATTTTAAATTAGAATCAAGGAATAAAAAAGGAACACAACACGGAGCACAGTGAAAACAATCAGTTGCAACATTAATCCTTCCCACCCCCCAATAAATAAGACATGCTGACCCGTAGTCTGAGTGAATCTTGACACATCATCCATCCTCTTCTCGCTAACCTTCCTCAGACCTGCCTACACCCACCTGTCCAAGTGGGGTGATCCACACTCAGCAAAGCCCCTGCAGTCACACCACAAGCCCTGCTTGTTGTCACTGCCTCAACGTGCTCCCTGAACCATTATTCCCGCTGCCAACTGCCCTCACCTGCGAGTTTCTGAGGGGTGACACCACAGGATGTGCCAGGAATGAGGGCAGTGTTAGCAATGCCAGCTGCAACTTGCTTTTTCTACTCCCAGAATATTTTCTCAACTCCCACAAGAAAGGGGAGGAGAGAAAAACACTTCCTCTTCATGCAACACCAGATATTCAGGAGAGTTGATATTAAAAATATAATCTTTCATGGAGTTAACAATTGAAAGATGATTTTATAGCTCTAATTTAAAACGTATGTAGAAAAAAACCTGATTCCATGTTTCCATATCTGAGCACAGATATTTTAATCTGTTCCCAGAATTCAGACACGGAATCAGCCATCTGTCACAAAGAAGTAAATCACCTCGCGAAGGTGGCACACACATCACGCACAGCAAAGAGCCTCCGTGTCGCCTGCCTGGCAGAGAGCTGGGCTGCTTAATCTGATTGATCATTTCTACCCTCACACTGACAATTCATTAAATAAATGAAAGTGCACGGCGAGCTATTTTGTATGTACTGAAGATGCCATTCAAAAATTGATGCGATCTGGGGACATCTGATGCTCTGTTTGGAGCCTCTTCTTAAAACGTATCATCTAAATCGTTATATGCACCCTGGGCAAAATAAGCAACAGTGAAGAGAGGAATCTGACTACGCTGGACTCCACACATGCAGAAACTCTGTTACAGTTTAAAGACTTGCACAGCTATGATCACAGTCCAGCAGTTTGATGAGAATCAATTCCTAAGCTAACTACAACTCAAACAATTTTGTGGCTGAAGTGCACTTTGCAGCAAGCTCTCCAAGTATCTTTTTCCACAGATTTTGCAGTTTACTCCGCTTCAAGGAAGTGCAGTTCATTCTCCTGTTAGCAAATAATGGGTGTTTGAGATGTCCCTGTCCTAGACTTTCCTAAACCACATCAAACTCACCTGTATCACACATGCCAGCATATCCAACAATCGTTATTCCCAGGCTTTGCCCATTCTTTTTTATAAGTTCGACATCATAGGTCTCAAAAAGGTCCTTATTATCCTATAAATAAAGCACAAGACAATGAAGTCTGTGAATTCTCAGTACCATTAGCAAATTGCAGGTTAAGCTCTTCAAAAGTTAGCAGTGATTTTGATCTTCCTACTCCAAGAAGTATCACATTTGCAGAAAAGAAATACCTAACATTTGCTGAAAGCAAGGTATCACTAAAGTCATTATTTGCTTTTCAAATTCTTTGCTATTATTTTTTCCACATACCTGTCAGAGGCATAAAGTGTGTATTTTATTGAAAACAAAGGTTTCCATTAGACAAGGGGACATTTTCCCTTGATTCCATTGTCACTTAGTAGCAGCAAACCTTCCAGTCCAGCTCTAAAGGCAACAGAAATCCTAAATGCTCTGAAAATTTATTTTGTGCCTTTTGTCCTGACAAGCAGTGCCAGGGACCTACCTGCCAGGGAGGCACCGACTAAGGAAACAAGGAATAGCGTGAAAATAATCCCATAACTGAAATTGATTTCTTTCACTGGGGGAGATAAAGCCTCACACCCACACAGTAGGCATATCTCTATTATGGATGGAGCTCTCTATCTAAATGCATATAGGTAACCATGTAGATGCATAAGTGTATTTTTTGTCTTTATGCTAGACACCAAGCTAGAAATTACACCCTGCAGACATAAGATTAAGAAGTTTGATACAGTCCTATTCTGATTTGAACTCCACCAAAGAGCACTGGAAGCCACTGGAATGTCAAAGGCAACATGAAGCTAAAGACACACTAGAGTTTGCATTCAATGAAAATTATTTTTCAGACAGAAAAATATTATACTATAAACAGCTTATTGTTAAACTGATAAGACTTCTCACTAAAAAAAACTTGAGAAAAAAAAAAGGAAAAAAGCGCATAACCTGTTCTTTGAACCCTCTGCTTGTTCCCATTAATAACAAAACTCAGAAGTCACTAGCTATTTCAGGACAGGAAATGTGCAAGTGATCCCAATTCCAGAGAAGTGCTCAGAACACGAGTCCTCCAAAAGTTGGTTTCATTATGTTCCACTGTGCAACTAGTGTAGCCTGACCAGTAAAAATTGGAAGTACAAGACAGAACACATACATGAGGAGTTCAGGATGAGGCCACCCCAAAGACACGGCTGATTCAGAAGAGAAAAATGAGCAAGCACATATATCCCCACACAGGGGGATACCAAGGCAAAAATTAACATAAAAGGAGTTCTTGTAGACTTTCAATAATCTATCTGCTCATATTAAGGTGATCAAAAACAAGCACGTGATCAGAGTAAGGGCTCTTGGAGGGAATGAAGTCAGGATGGCTGCTATCACTGAAAACACAATTAACACAGAGTTGGAAAAAGGAAAAGGTTTCTTGAGAAGACAGTGGCCCAAGAAAAGTCAAATCAAATGCCAGTCAAGTGTCAGCTATGGAGGAACCTATACTGAAAGGAGGTAAAACTGCTGTTATGGCCATTTCACCTTCAGCTGAAAGAGAAACCAGCAGAGAGCTACCTCCCACCTGCCTCCACAAGCCAGCTGCCTAAATGGTTTCCAGCTCTCTCATTCCACAAGGCACTGAGGGGATGAAGATGGTTTCTGTGCTCTGTCACTTATCTTCAGGAGAGGGAATCAAGACAGCAGCCGAGCCTTCAGTGACATCTGAAATGGACCTATGGTCTCCAGAGTCCTGCTATTCTGGCATCAGTTCTTCACCGCCACTGCTCTACTCTGCAGAAACACTCCCGGAGGGATGTTACTGGCAGCACGCAAAGAGATGGGAAGCGGAGGCTGCAAAGATCACGGCACAGAGTCCCAAAGGCAGTCAGGACAAGCAAGCTGCTAATATTGCAGGCAGTATCTTGCAAAATACCAATAGCATAGCTGTTTTCTTGTGCGTATATGGACAGAGAAAACAGACCAAACATGTAAGAAAGCATTTCTAATCATTTGCATACAATCCTAAGAGGAAGGAAAAAAACATAAAGAAAAAAGAAAAAGAAAAACTTTTGCTACTCCAAAGCTTACAACTAGTAAAAGTGCTCAGAAGTCAGAGGGAAATACTAGACTACTGAAGCAAGCTCTGTTGTGAATCAAACACAAGCTGAAGGGTAGAGTAAGAAAATAACTAATAAATGGACTCAGATTAGCCACCATTCCTGACTTCAGCAAATCTATTGTCACAGCAGAGAGGGATTTACTCAAATGTAAACATGCATTGCTCATGAATTTAGAAAGCAATAGATGATGTTCAGAAACAAACAGATGCAGTTATGCAAAGATTTTTTTTTTAATTGCACTGAAAAGACACCCAGAAATAACATTTTAGAGAACTGCAGAATCTGCAGCTCAGGATTGATCAATGAAACAAGCTGCTAAACAAATCAGATCACTCTGAAGCAAAGAGAGAAAAATAATAGTTTGTACAGGGGACAGCAATCAGAACCAGGTTATTTTTCCCAAATACAGACTTTGGGAAATTCAATCCAGGCAGAAAAATAAGAAATGTTTTATAACTATGTTGATTTTCTACTAGTGTCATTTCCCCCCCTCCAGAGAATTAGGTAAGATCTCACTTTAAATACAGCAGTCTTCTGAGAAGAGCTTGTGAAGGACCCACAACCTCTCTGCTTCACTTACAGCAGCATTTCCAAGAGACATGGAACTTTTCTCCTTCCCACAGCTAACGGCTGCCTTTGCAGAGACTGGGCCCAAATATGCAACACCACAACTGCTAATCTCACCCTTAAAACTGGGGCTTTAAAAAAAGGACTCTTAAGTTAGAGTCAAGAAATTAGACAAGAAAGAAAAGGCTACTTGAATTCTACACCTAAATCTAAGCAGCACAGTAGCAGCAGATGGTGCACAAGCACAGCTTTGTTTATGTTTCAAGACCTACTGTACACTTAGTGTAGCATTTGTTGATTTTAATTACTCAAAACTGAAAAGAATGACTTCAAAAACAAGAGACTTTGATATGACCATGATAAGATTTGCTAAAACAAGTTTCAAAATTTTTAGATATATTTCCTATCACAGACAGTAGCGTAGACGCTGAAAACATTACACTTATGTTTCATAGAAAAGATGATTGTGCTGAATAATTCTGCTCTGGCCACAGCACTAGATTTTAGACTAGGGAAATTCACATTCAAGTTTTTAAATCCACTTAACAAATGATTGATTAGTAAAAACGTAATGAGCTATGAAGGACAACTAAGAGTGCCATTTATTGATAACGTTTATGGTCTTGGTAATTAAATCATTCACTTCGAAATAAATTCTGTAAGGCTGGTCATTCTGACCCCAAGATTATAGGCATTTACAGCACACCAGAGAAAGGGAAAAATTATAGAAGGTAGGGCAAGAATAATGACCACTTAAAAACATATATATGATACTGGAAACTCAAATGAGGAAAAGCACTTTAGGTCTCATGAACGCTCCATTCTCCTCCTCCTCTCTGATCACAAGCCACAAACATGCTTTAAAACGTCATAAATAAAATCAAATACTTACATTCCCATTTTGAAAGGAGGGTAATGCACTAACTGGCCAGCTCAAAGGAGCTGGTGGAGTTTCTGTAATTTCACCCTTTGGGTCTCTTGCGACTACCATCCTAACAGAGTTCCCACAGTTTCTCAGTACTTGGGCAACTTGTTCGCTGGTCATTCCTTGAACGTTGGTCCCACCAATCTGTAGGATGTGATCTCCTGTCCGCAGCCGCCCATCCTTCAAACATAAATAAAATCGCAAAAATAAAAGTTTCCAGTCTGTACATGAATCAGTGCTTTCACATTACAAATCTCAATTTCTGTGCAGGCATTTTCATGTCCAGGTGAGCCATGAGAATACCACAGAATTAATCAGCATTGCAACGTTAATAATTCAAGGAAGTGTTTGCACAAATAAGCCCTTTTTCTTCTACAGAATTTAATATTGATAGATCAAACTTTAAACAAAAAATACCAAGCAAGCTAAACAGGTTGAATAGTACTATTGCTAATCCAGTGGTTATGCTTCTCAGCAGAAAGTTTATAATCTTATAGCCTGTTAGGTACCGTTGTTTCATACAATAAACCTTGCAATTTTTATTCTCACATGACTAGTTGCTACTCCAGAGAGTAATTCCACTGAAGGTGACAAGACTCCACACACAAACCACTGTTTACATGACAATTAAGATTCACACATTGCTATTTCTATTGCAAGCAAGCATTCATGGGTCCAAACCTTCAGCTAGCGTTGATCCACTATCTCATGAACAGTCATTTACACAGCACTCAGTGCTGTTTCTCTTAAAAGAAAGGCGAACTCACACAGCTTTTAACACATATACATACGTATACATATCCATTTTTTTCAAGGTTTTTGATGATCTCTCCTTCAGGCGAGAACAACATGAGTTCTTAACTTACATGCGTCATTTGTGGCCAAAACATTTTATTCCTTACAGCAAAATAGGTGTTATAAATAAGTGGCTCTTAACTATTGTGTAAGTGGCAGGTTCTGAGAGAGGCAGACAACTATTACTGTCCAATAAAGCTCTCTGAACCTCCAGTTTTCATTTCTGGTGAATATTGCAAAGGTATCTTAGGCTGTCTCTTTTTGCATGTTACCCTGAGTCTTGTCTGGACCTAGGGCTCCAGAGCTCCAACGCCACAACATGTCATGACCAAACTCACATTAAAAATCCAAATCCTGTTTTCTATCCGTGTGTCCTAATGTGGCACGGAGTCTTTGAGGACCAGCAAATCAAAGCTGCCAGCTGCACCTGAACAGCTTCCAAAGACACCACAAACTACAAAAAACTCTGCACTGATCCCAAGTGCCTCCAGGATCTGCTCAGACTGCAGGGCACAGGCCCCAGTGGCTTTAAAATTAAAACCAGTACAGAGATGGGACGTTTTTAAGCTGGATCTTGCAACACGATTTCTTCAATGGCACAGATTCTCTTGCCTGAGAATCGTCTCCAGTTTGTCCTTACAGATGTTGCCAAACATATCAAGTTTTACCAAGAATAAGCAAATCTATTAGGAGTATTTGTCCTCCCAGGACGACCAAAGGTTGAAAGTATTAAAAGTATTAGAACAACTTGGACAAAATTTCAAAATTTCTGGATGTTCTACAACTTTAGGAAAGCCAAAACATGTCTGAGAAACAACTTAATGCACGTCAGGTATTGACTTTTTCCTCAATCATACCTTTCACATATTTATTTGTAATGTACACGTTGGCATTCAGACTTCGATGCTATCAGCTTCCCTTTGTTGAAGTATATTAGTTTATTTTAAGACTGTCAAAAGCAGTTAATTACACTTTACAATCAAACAAGAAGTGACATAATATAACAAATTACCCGGTCTGCCAATCCCCCAGGAACAATTGTTCGTACAACCACACCACTCGACTTCCCTCCTACAATTCCAAAGCCTAATCCCGAACCGTCGTTAATCAGCTCAACGTCTTCGACGTGGCCCCAATGAATCTGCAATTAATAAAAAACAGGAGATTTTAATTTCAACTGATTTTTAATGTTTCTCACTTTCACATGTAGTGGTAATGATGAGAATTAACCAAAACAATCTTCTTTCTGCCCCACATATTGGAGATATACAGGATTTTGGACAGTCAGTTTCATTTCCTAATAAAAACTCAGTGGGATTTCTCATCTGTTTTTAAACATACATTTTGTCCTTCACTTTCGTAACAGCACACTAAGAAAAAGCAATTTTAAAATTTTCTTGCCAAAATGAAAACTATCCTTTTAGCTTCCCATAAATCAGGAATACTGCAAACAGGGGGGAAAAAAAACAGAAGAAAGGAGCTCGCATTGGCCTAGTTCTCATTTACTGTTGCCCAGCTTCTTATTTCTGTTATTTCACTTATCCTCCAAACACCCTCCATACCCTAAACACTAGTACATGCCGAATTAACAGCACAATACAAAGTTTTGCCATGCTGAATTGGAAGCATGTTTCCAAGCTACACTCTATCATGACCTTGTGTTCTACTAGACAACCTCAAAATAACAAAGCTGTTAAGCAACCCAAATGCAGCCAATGTTTCTGTCAGATTAATATCTCATAGAAACCAAAATGGAGCAAAGTAGGCAGATTTAAGTCTTCTGTGAATAAAGGATTTATTAGCACACTGAAAATCTTTGCCAAAGCCAGTTAAATATCATAAAAGAAGTTTAAAGACCCCCCGTAGAGATATATATTTGTATTTTATTTTGTTAGTCTGTTCAGTGCAGATCTTTCAATGAAAAAGCAGTTAAAGTTTAATTCTTTAAAATTTTCAGTGCAATAAACAATATTGATTATCCACTAAAACCTTCAGATTTCACTAGCTCTGTAATAATCATGAGGGAAATAATTACTGAGAATAAGGAAAAGCAGCACTCTAACCAGATTTTCATTGAAACCTACTTGTACAATAAATTAAAATTCTAATATTGCAAGCCCTGCATTTAGGTGTGCAGCTCAAACAAATTCAGGGAAGCCACCTGGACCATACAGTTTGAACACAGATGCGAGTTCAGCCCTGGCTTATTAGACCTCCAGGTGACAATCTCTCCCTGTTCAAGAAAATTAAAGGGTTAACAATCAATGACATTTACAGATTAAAATAATTAAATGGACAAACAAGAACTCAGAGGTTCCCTTAACAAGTTTGTCTTTGCTTGAAAAAAAAAAACAAAAAACAAAAAACAAACAAAAACCTGTTTTCAGCAATTCAAGTTTTAATGGGTTGGGATATTTCAAGCAGTGCTCAAGATAAGCTGTGTTTACCCTCTTTTAAGGTGTAATCAGAGCCACATCTTTAATTGCTGAGCACAATAAGGTTTCAGCTGGGTATACTCATAAATTGCAGACCCTGCTGCTAAAAATATGTTGACCTACTACAGCTTCTGCTAGCCCATAAAGAGCCCGGATCTATTTTATAACACCTTCATGCAGCTTTGCAAAGGAAGCATTCTAATTACTCCAGGATAAGTCTCAGTCAAACGCCACTGCATACAAAACCCGATTAAAAAATAAAAGCAGAAAAAGCCAGCTAACACAGCTACAACTATTAGAGAGTCCATCACAGTTCAAAGTCTGATTTTGACAGCACTGCAACAACTCACAGTCTCAGGTGGATTTATATCGCTGGGTGAGACGGCCGAAGTTCTGCTGTTTCCTTGAGCTGGCTCCCTAGCAACGACCAGATGCAGGGATCCCGTGGATTGCTGCAGGAGCGCCACGGCGTGCTGATGGGAAACGCTCCGATCCAACGGGGTGCAATTAATGGCCAGTATGTGGTCATTTTCCTTCAGTCTTTGATCCCTTAACAAAACAACGAAAGAAATTTTAAAGCGCTGCGCAGTAACTTCATTAGAGGCTAGCGTAATCTCAATAGGAGCATGCAGAATACACAGTTGTGCAAGGTTACACCATTTATATAAAGGAAAATCTGCTTATTAAGCTGTCTCTAGCAACAGAAAAATCACATGCGATCCACATTGTCCCAAACAGACCAACCAAAGCAAATTCTGTTGCAACACTGCCACGGTATACTAGTTGACTACATTTCTTCCACTGCTTCTACTTGAAAGATTCCCCTATTCTTTCTTGATTATGAGTTATAGGGCACAAAAATCATTTTTTGTAGTTATATAAGGAACAACAAATCATTCTTGATTACTGTCCACACTATGTGACACTAGCTCCAAGTACTCAAAACTCAGGCTATGATACTGTTTTGCATCATTACTTAGCCTAAATATGTTTATATGGTATTCAAACAGAATTTACAGTATCAAACTTCACACATCAAACTTCCTTTGGGCAATAGGGAGCTCAGTTTATACTATACTGTAGTATAAATAGTACGTTGTAAAAGTATGAATCTCAGTTAATTCACCCCAGCAATGAATGTAGATTTGTGACAAGAGAGAAACGATCATTCATCTGCTTTGTTAAATATTCATTCTGAGCACGAGACCAAACTGTTACTTAGACAGACACTTCCTTCAAAGCTCTGTAGGAATCCAAAATTCACCAGGAGATCTTGTCTCAGAAGAAAAACTGGAAGCACGCTAGGGAAATTCATAAAACCCCCAAACAATAAAACTGCACATCTTAGCTAACACATTTTAAACTTCATTTTTCTCGTGCAATATTTAAGAACTTTCCCTGAAATCTCTTTTTTTCAGGCACTAACCATATTTTAGATTCCTTCATCAAAGAAAGCAAGCAGCAGGTCATCAAATCCTAACGTGAGATATTCACCCTCCTTTGACATCCGGATCAGTCCATCTGTCTCCACTTTGAAAGAGCCTAATATGCTTTTCTTTAAGTGCTCTATGATGTGTTCTCTGCGGGCCCATAGCCATTATCATTCCAACCTCTCCCCACTCTTTTTGTCATCCTGCGTTGGCACTTCCTGACATGTGTTATTTAAAAAGTGACACCAGTGACTTGAAATCTAGACACATTTTCTTTAAACATAATTCCAAACACCGTATTTGTCTCATGCCAACTCTTGTGGTTTTACAATCACATTTTATTTTTAAAGGATTGCTCTGTCTTTTGTTGTTGGGCAAAAACCCACAGACAATATGGGGGAAAACTGCCTGAAGCCTTGATTCTATAATGACATCTGTGCAGGGATCTGTCAGGAGGACTGGATCTAAATTTGCACAGGAAAAACAGTAAAACCAACTATAAACAAAAGCATTGTCATATGCACACAAATAATAAAAAAGGGGGGGAAAAGAACATCTTCCAGGGATACAATGGATGATAATTCAGAGGCTAATTTTATTTTCCCTGTATTCTTTTGTGAGTTTTCTTTGTTTTATAATCAGTACCCCAGATTCTCTTAAGCGATTCCTGGAAATTCCATTTATGAATGGCTGGGATATTTAAAACTCATCTGAAGATCTGGTCCCTGAAACATGAGTTTTAGTTGAACAGACAGAACTCAAGCTACCTCCCACAAAATATCCCACCTGACTGACCCAGACAAAGACATGAGTCTGATGAGGTCTTCGATATGAAAATCATGGCTTAAACTTACAGTATTTCACTGGAGAAGTAAGATGCAAGTGTAAAAGTCTCACCTGTCAGCTATGCCTCCTGGCTGCACTTCCTTCACAAAGATACCAACTTCTCCCGAGCTGTGGTTTTTAAGGGCGACCACGCTAAATCCAAGACCTCCAACAGAAGGCTTTTCTATCTTTATTGATTCTATTTGTCTGCCCTAGTAAAAAAGAAAAAGTTTTACTAATTTTTAACGCAACAGAATGAGCTAGTTTAAAATTTATGAACACTATGAGAATTATTCTCCTCCTAAGACTAAACAAAGGCAAAATACTGAATATGTTATTTCTATAAAAGCTTCTCCGTTTATTATTTTTAATATAACGGAGTATTGGATATGCAAGGACTCTGAGGTTCTGAAACCTCAGGGAATTTAAAAGCTGCTTTCACACTTCATTCACATTATGAGATGAATTCCAAACTGGATGAAAACTATGAACGAAGTGCTGTCTAGAGCAATATATTTGGGATTTCTGGAAATACTGCACAGCTAAACTAAATTACTTGTCTTTGGCTCCTTTTGCTTTTAATGCAAACCTTTTTTAGGTTCGTGTTCAAAAGATTGCAGCTTTTAAATAAAGAAATTAATTTCCTTCCCCTCCCTACCATTTCACACTTGATGCTAAAAACATTTGTTTTTCCAGGTACCTTTTCAGTTCTAATACAAAATTTCTGGGGTTGTTTATTGGGAAGTATTACTTAGAGAAAGCACTTATATCACAGCTGTTTTATCCAAAATAATGTGCAGTCTCTACCACTAAATCTTTTATTGGATTAGTTAATGACACACTAATGAGAAGAGTTATGCTCAAAATATTACAGCTACATTAAGGTAGTCAATTAGCAACAGTTACTTAATATAGAAAGGCACGACTAACCAATTAAATTAATGGTTCAAAGTAACACAGAACAATACATTCATGGTATAAATGCCAATTCCACATGGGTGAATGTCTGCACCTGTATAATTCTCCATAAGCAGCTGGTACATGCTACATCACATGTTAGCAAAATCAGCATCTGTCTGATGAAGTTAAGAAAAATTAAATGAAGAGCTAAATAAAATATTAAACACTGGTTCTTTTAATCGTTTGTACTGTTCAAATATCAACAAAGCTGGTAAGTTTCCAAATCAAAATGTACTTAATGAAAAAGCCTTTTTCCATCCAAACAGGTTTCTGCAGAAGATGTCCATTTTCAATCAAGGGTCAGCAAACGCCAAAAAATGTTTTCTGGAAACTGAAATTTCTTTTCTATGTTGGTGTGTTTGATGGAGACTAAAACAAAACAAAAAAAATTGGCAAAGAAAAACTTTCCGTTTTTGATGGTATCTTTCATGGGGAAAAATTATCCTCAGCAGCTCTAGACTCTTACTGGTTCTCAGATACACAACACAGAAATGCGTTTGGCAAAGTACTCCACAGGCACACATGGAAAAGTCTAACTTTAGAGGAAAATAAGTCTTGTGGAGTTGAGAGCCTTACCTTTGCCATCTGTTGGATGATCGTGTTAAATTCATTAACTCCTAGGTTTGCTGCGAAAGGAGATGCTCCGGGTTCGGGCGAATTGCAAGGTGTGCACAAGCTCCCATTAGCAACTGATTTGTCAGCAAACACCAGGAGCCCTCTCTTGGTAAAATCAAAATCTATTGAACGGTTCGGAGGCATGTAATTTAGCTGTTGAAAACAAACACAGAGGTAATAAAACTACTTGAAACATAAGAATAGATATGTATGTATAGGCCCTTTTTCTGCAGATTGACAATGAAGCAAGCACATACAAGTTTATATCTATGCATTCACAGAAATATACTACAAATTTTAATTTTTTTTTTCAGAAGGAAGTTTTTCAAAGATTTCAGCTGTTTCTATCACACTAATTTTCTCCATCTGTGTCACGCTTCTTCCCCATCCTTGCCCATTTCCCTCTTTTTACCGTTATGCCCAGGAAAAATACACAGACAAGCATGAAATATGAAAGAGGCACTGCTGCAATCAACAGGCAAACCTAGACAGTTTGGGCACAGGAATCACAATTTTCATGTGATTTTGGGACTCAGGAGCCAAGGGTCTGCTTCTGTGCTATGTCTCCCCAGAGAAACTAAAGTACAAACCAACTACTACACACTACTATTGCTAGAACTGGCAGTTCAGTTTCCAGTCTTGGCAGATAACACAGGAGTGTAAAAATACTACCAATGTGACACAGCAAACTGAAGATTTTTTTCCTGAATGAAACTGTTCATCGTGCATTGGGAGAAAACACTTTAAAAAAATCCATTTTGATAAACATCTAAATTTGCTAGTTATGAACATTCCAAGCGTGAAATCCATTACACCACGGCTACAAAACTTCATCCTAGATTTATTTGTATTTTCAGTTTATTATTATTTTTACTTAATAGCTTGCAGCAACATGCATCCAAGTTTTGGAAGGAAGAGGTTTGAACAGATACAGCAACAACATGAACAAGGGAAGAAGGGAGAATGAATGGCACTGTCATGTCACCCACATAGGAGCATGCACAACACATGCAGGACGTTTGGAAATGATGGCAAGGTGGCCTCATTCCCAAGACCTATAGACCTCACTATATTTGCAGGTAGGGAGGTGCAATAACAGCACCACAACCCTGATTTTAGTTTGCATTCCTGATAGCTAATTGCATGATGAGAACTGTTCATACAGAAGTGTCGTCGATGCCCGTGTCCATGGGATGCAAGTGCCAGATGGCATTATAAACCAATCCACACAAGTCCCTTCTGCTGCTGGAGCTAACTCACTTAAAGCTAGCTCGGATATGTCTACATCAGTGCTTGGCAAACCTTCAAGGGTGGTTTTCTAGATTTTATTTCCCCAAGCAGGTTATCTTTTAAAGAGGCAAGATGCTGCCAGTCAGTTGATAAACAGCAGTTTGCTTCTGGGAAAAACAAAGGGCCCCAGTTCCCACTGTGTTCAGAACTCACGCTGCCGCAGTTGATGCCTGTTGCTGCTGACGCCTGTTTCGAGATTGATGTGGTTCTCAGCTCCTGCCTCTTCTGCATACCTTTCAAAGCATGCTGCCCCCATGACTACAGTATGTTGCAATAGCTCTTATTTCAGAAGGGACTGTGCAGATACCAACTTAAAGACAGCACTCAATCACACCAAATAACAGCCTACTAACAACAGTGTCCTCATTAACACCCACCTACATATCCTGTTTTAAGTTCCAAGTTAAATACAGTTATCATCACACCAACAATTGTTATTTTGCACTCACTTGTTCCTTCAGCTGCTTGATGGATTGCTGGAGAGTCAGAATCTGGTTGAACAAAGGGCTCCTTAGCGTGTTACGGAGAAGAGTCAGGTTTTCATTATGTGGAGCATCTTTCTTTTCACGGAGTTTTGCTTGCAGACGGTCAAGGATCTGCAGCACCTGCTGTTTATCTGTACCACAAAACGGTACGTGTTAGGAACACAGCTCCATTTCTCACTGCTTAGCAAAAGCAGTCTTTTAGACTACATACCTGCTGCAGGATTTTCAGGCATGTTGAAGGGTATTCTTGGAATTACTCAGAACAACCTAGAATAACCTGGTTACAAAAATTTGAAGGGAGAAAAAATCGAAGGGAGAATTGATTAGATACACTCTTATCAGAGACAGTAGACAGTCAAAAAATACACTTTCTTGATTTTATTCTATACTAATAATAGTTGACAACAACAAAGTCAACAACAAAATACCCTTCCTGTTTGTTTACCAAGTATTCAACAGCTCTCAATATAGCCAGTTACACTAAGACACCAGTAAAAAAAAAATATTTAAATATTTCTGCTTGTCCTGTGTGCTGTCCTCCATACGCACACAAAAAAAGATGAAGAACATCTCTTTACAATACAGGGAAGAATGCAGATTTTAAAACCCAACATTAGCCATGGAAATTGAGTGCCAGCTGTGTTCAGCCAAACTATTTTAAATACAGACAATAAAGTTGTGACCTTTTCAAACACATCCAGATGAAATTCTACTATTTAAAAGATACTTTCCTCCCATATAATTATTTATAGACAGTATCCTTATCACAGCAGCTTAGTCCTGCAACACATCAATATAGCTGAAACCTTATATCCTTCTATGAAACCATTCCACAAGGCCTCCACACACAGGGTAGCACAGCATTAAGGCCTAAAATTGGTGAAATAACTCCCAGCCCAATATCTCCTTAAGGGTCCTCAGTTCTAACCCCAGTGCTGATTTGCTGAATAGGAACGAGAAGCTTTCTCTTCCCTGCCACATGTGCCATCCTTTGTCCTTTCTATTTGTATGACAAGCTTTGAAGGAACACAATATCCTTTATCATATTCCCCTACAGTGCCAAATAAAACAGGTCTCCAGCTGTGGTTGAGGCTTAGATGGCAGTATAAAAACAACTGACTTGCAATTAGTAGTTATGATAAATGTGTACCCTTACGTGCATGTTATTACCTTGATGCAGAGCCTGTCATCCTGAAATCTGTCAAGGCAGTCAAACCAACACACACACACAAGATTTCTTTACTCAGTGCAAGCTCCTCTGAACAAAATCAACTACTCAACAGCACAATTTACCTAATTTTGACCCTGCCCACTATGTAACTGTGTAATTTGAAAATATTTTAAAACTAAAACAGGCGTGTAAAGAGCTACTCTAAATCTTGCAATTCAGTGTAAATTAATGGTAAGCACATGCCAGAGACCATCTCCCAGAGAGCTCTCAGTTCTGCTTCTGATACGTGCTGTGCTCAGACTCAAAAAGTCCAAGTTGTGAGGACCAACTTCTGCGTGTCCAAGCTAATAGTGCAGATGAAAACAGGGTAATACAATAGCTTCTCTCCTCCCCAGAGTGTCAGATCAGGCTGCTATAAACTAACACAAAAATAAAAAAATAAAAAGAGGAGGTGTGGTAGAGGTGTGGTACAAACCACAATTTTAGATTTATGCATCCTTTACTGTATCTGAGCAGTTCTGGCTACTAGAAGAAATTCTGCAGAACTCAGTGGATTTGCGTGGTTTCCACCTAGGGCCAAGCAAAATGAGTCGCCTTGCAAGTCTATTAACAGATTTAGGAGGTCATTTTAAATCAAATTCATAGCAAGGGCTGAGGCTGCAAACCCGAACAACCCCAAAAGATTTTCAGGAATGCATCTGAACTTTTGCAAGCGCTGCAGCTCTATTTTCTTTTCCATTTGAAATAAAACACTTCTAAGAGCACAGCAGCCTTTGATTCTACACTGAGATCTGCTTCTGAAGAACAGATGAAAATACCATTTCTTTACACATTCTTAGGTCTAGATCTAAACAAAAAGGCAAAACTTGACCTCGTTGGCCAAAAACATTGCACGGATCTTAAAAAAACAGGAAAAAGACTATGCAAATTCTTTTTTCTTTCGAATTTTACCTCCTTCCATTCATTTTCCTACCCCCCCCTTTTTTTTTTCCTCCCACCTTACATCAGCAATTAAAAAACAGAAAATTTCCTAAAGCAGGCCAGCCTACATCAGAAAAAGATTCAAAATAACTCCTAGGAGGAAAAGTGACCTGAAACACCTTTAAGCAGCATTACACCTTAGGGGCAGAGGGGCACAAACAGGACACAGACTCCCCTTGCAGCAGCTCTGCTGCTCCAGCAAACTGTGCCCTGAGAAACAGCCCACTCAGAAACCACCTCTGCAAGACACACTGACAGGCTCCAAGATTAATTCTTTTCTCCACGATGGCGGATGCAGCAACAGTAATTACGACAACGGGTACAGAGCCAAAAAAAGAAAAATGAGAGCAGAAAAATGTAGGTAAGATGCTCAGGCTCCATCTACCACGCATAACATGCAGAGGAGACCCTGGAGAAAGAGGTAAAAAAGCAGGAGGAAAAAAAAATAGAACAAAACACACAAAGTTTCTTCTTCCTTGATCTAACTGCTGCTCAAAGCTATTGCAGACCACTCTGCTGCAGCAGCAGCTGAAGTGGATGGACCTTGGGTGCAATTCAGGAACGATTCAAGTTTACACAGCACTTGGGGACCCCTCATGACCCAAGCTGGCCTCTAGCCAGGCTGCAATGATTTTTGATGGGCAACATATTTAAATCACCATCAGTATTTCTTTCTTCTCCCTTCTTTTCTCCAAGTGAAAAGGGGAGTGTTTTATTTTAAAGCAAACAGATAGCTCTTCCTGCTGTAAGGGGATCCCTGAGAACATAAAGTTGAAAGTTTTCAAGTAATGCATAAGTGATGACAGCTCCCTAACTGGCTCTTGGGGGCCAGGGAATGCACAGCCCCAGAAATTACTGATGGGTTTATGTCTGGGGACCCAAACAGCTCATTGCTAAACCACTGCCAAACACAGATGCTAATTTTGAGTGAGGTGTCAACAGACAGAAGTTGCTAAATTAGCAGATCCCAGCCCAGACATTGATTTTGGAGAGTGATCCAGAACACAACGGTTCGAGCTCTCAAAAACAGCTCATCCACTCCGTGGTGAACCTCCCTCGCGCCATTCTCGTGCTTCTACAGACACCTATTTTATCTGCTAGACAAAAGAGCAAACCTTAAAGCTCAAAATACGCATTGTAGCTCCCAGTACCACCATAAAACCAATGCCAAAAATCATGAATTCTACAAAGCTTAGTGGCCTCAAACACCAAGAAAAAAATAAAATAAAAACACCACCACACAAACGTGCAACTGGGTTTTTACTGTCTTCAGTTGTGAGAGCTGAACTCAATGAATCACAGGGAGCAGGAAAGTTTCAATAGGTTTTGAGAAAAATGCTGTAACTTGGATCCTTACCCAAACAAACCTTTTTTTTTTTTAATAATAACTCAAAAAAAAAAGAGAGTTGTGACTAATTCAAGGGCAACTACCCTTAGTGTGTGTGGCACCTTCTGGGACATTAACTCCAGGACACAAGTCCTTGCTGTGCAGCAAGTTCTAACTGCTGCTATTTTTCAAAGGCTTCTACTGCAGCCAATCTGGGCAGATCATCACGGGAACAGCAAAGAGTGTATCCCTGTCCAAAGTCACCTTTCTGCACTAATGCATTTGGAATTTTTCCAGGAGTGAGCGATATGGTGCATGTTTTTTTCCTTCACCTGTCCAGGAGAGATGTCCAACTTGGAAAATTTCAGCCCAACAGGTTTAAAGTTTGACAAAATGAAAGAGAAAACACCATTTGTTACACTCATCTCGGTCCTAAATGGCCCTACCTCAACATCACCTATAACTTACGATATTAAAAACAATATAGTAAAAAAGCCCTTATGCAACTATATGCTACTGAAGAAACATTATACTAAACTGTACAGCTTTAAGCAGTAGGCTGACTCAGTCTTCCATCCCAGTAACACATTAAAAAAAATGTTTAGCATGTACACAGCTTTCAAAGAAGGCTACCGTAAGCAAAGCTCCTGCTGTTCCACATAAACATTATAGTTTTAATAAAAAGTGTCATAGCTCTCCAGCTTTTCAGTATCTCAAAGCTTTATACAAGTCGTGCTGACAACCTCAGGCACTTGAAAGGAGGATATAATTGAATGGTGCCATGAATACCTACGTATAAAGATAGCACATTCCTCCAAGATAAAGCAAGTTAAAGGCAAGTGTTTTTGCATATGAAATAATCAATCCACGACCTGTGGTTAAGGAGGACTAGTGACTACACGGTGATGAAAGCAAACGAAACCATGTGCGCCTGGGAGCCACCTTGCCAACTGAGACCAACCTTACTCATTCCCAAGCCATGCTAAGCTTTAACAAGCAGAACCTGAATTCCCGTGGACTGGAGCCTGGAGGGGATGTGCCGACGTGGGTTCTCTGATGTCTAACAAAAGGCTGAGCTCAGGCCGAAGCCACTCTCAGCAGAGCGATAACGCGGCTTGTGCTCAGAAACCTGTTCTGTCAAGGATTGCGCTTCCAGGATCCAAACAGGGAAGTTAAACAGCAAACCTGAAAGTTACTACAGAAAGCAGTGGCACAAGCAAACTGCTTCAGGTGGGAGGAATGTGTTGCACCTGGAACTACCACGGTGATTTCTGAAGCTCAGAAACTCAAGGCATTGCTTCCCCTCATCCAACCTCTGAGTAAAAAGCTGATCATTTAAGGCTCTCTGAACTGAAAGCCTTTGAGCAAAGGGTCCCCCAACCTCACAGAAAACGGAGCACCCCGAGCAGCGCCTCCTCGCCCGCTCGCACGGGGCGCAAGCACAAACAGAGCGAGGGACCGCCAGGGCCAGCGGGGACGGAGGGAACACCCAGGGGCCGCGAGGCGACAGGGAACGAGGCGCCCCGCGGCCTCCACGAGACCCC